ATAGAAAATCAGACCTCCCCCTGCCCCCTTCACTCACCAGGATGCGGGTCCAGCTACAGCTGTCCCACTTGCTGCTTCGTGGTGCTCAGCTGCCAAGAATGCCAGTGCCCTGACCTTGCCCATGCTGTTGCCCCTCACTCCCAAGCCATACCCCACCCAAGCACTTCCCATCCTTTGACATGGATCTGTCCCCTCCAGCATGCCCCCCCACAAGGATTGACAGCAAGTCGTGTCAGGTTCTCCCAGCCCAGCAACCTTCACCTTCCAGCCCCTACATGGTCACAGCTCCCTGCAGCTTCTTCCCTGGCACTTCAGGTCCTACTGGGATCTGGTCACCCCTCCTTTCCCCCTCTCCAGCTGAGCAGGACAATCCCCCCTGCCCTCCAGCAGAGATCTAGTCGGTCTTCAGCCAACTCTCACATTTCTCCTGCCCCACTTCCACACATAGATGCATTTATTCCCCCCCCTGCCATTTTGGGCATCTGGTTACTGCCCCCCTGCATAGCAGCCCCCAGCCTCCCATTTATCCAGTCATTCCATCCTCCCCTCCCAGCCATGTCACCGTTCATCATTTCACAGATCCCTTTCCATTGCTCTTGTGTATGTCTACATTTCTCTCCCTGCTAGCATCTGCACTCCCATCTTCATGCCTTTTGAGCTTGCTTTATCTCATAGGTTTGAAAAGAAGCTATTGAGCCATGAATAGTTAGCTGCTGGTGGTAGAAAAACTATAGGCCATTGTCTTAGGAGCCCAAAAAGGGACAGATCACATTTCTCACAATGTGAAACGTGGTGTTGTAAACATGCTTTTATATTTTCACATCGTGGTTTTTTAAATGCTCTTTCTTATATAGTTTTTAGCACTTGTGAGAGGTGTTGTGTTCAGTCACGGAGAGTGGAGACTTTTATCTGTTGACCCAGGAGAGCGGTGGTGCTGGCAGTGTCCTAGAGGTCAGCTTTCCTTGGATCCTGTCTCCTAAGGCTGCCAGTGGAGGTTGTTTTCAGTTGTAGTCCAGTTCTTTCCAGTGCAGGCTCTTGTTCAGTTGCTCAGTTACATCGATGGCATCTAATTTCACGTTGGCTTCCAAACAGCCGGAAGATGACAATGACTCACTCACAGAACTGATCTGAACATACCTCAGACCGCCTTAGAGGTGAAGGACCCTGAAGTGTATGTAGGATGTTGCATCTGGCTGTGCTTAGTATTTCTGACTGGATTACAAGGAAGATAGCATCTTTCAAACTACTCATTTCTGCTATCTTAAATTCAGGAGCGTTACTGAAACAGATTGGGTAGCTTGATCTACAAATCTAGGCCAGCTTTTAGCTTTGTCTCAAGTATAACTGTTGTTTTTTTTACGAACAATTTTTTGGCAATAGCTAAGGTTCACATTTGGTATCTGTGTAATTGCATATTTTTCATGATGTGTTATGGTTAAAATTGCTCCGTTGATTAAAAAGTCAAGATAAAATATGCAGTATTGTTGGCAGATGGGCTGTGAGCCCCCTGGCTGTTCTCTCATAAATGTGTGTATTTATATGCGTTAGTTCTTGGCATAGTAGACCACTGAACAGATTACTTAAGCCAGGCTCCTTGGTTAGCATTCCTGATGCTTGCTTTTTAAACAACTGTGGATGTGTAGCAATGAAGATACCTCAACCTAGAAAGAATTGCAAATGGAATTTCAGATGCTGATGCTGTCTAAATCACAGAAAGTGTATGAAGTCTGGTGTTTGGGCATAGGTTCCATTTTAATTTTGTTACCTCTGGACCTTTCTTTAGCTTTTTCATACTTGCAGTTGTTTAAGTGTAAGTTGAAGTTTCCAGGTAAAGAAGAACATCCAGTTCTTGAATTCTACAGAGAGAGAATAAAGTTTCACTCTAGTTAGTTTAGATTCTCCAAAAATGATAAAAGTAATCCAAAAACAATAGCCCTCTAACAGATATAAACAGTTCCCTTAGATTGTGTGCAAGGTAGCCTGTCAGAATTGCAGCAACATTTTACTGTCCAAAGCACAAAACCTACATAATGAAATTGTGTCCATCTTCTTTAGAAAAATAAATTATATGTTTACCTCGACAGTTTTTCAAAGGTTAACTCAGAAAGGGGCTTGAAAAAAAAAGTTTCCTTGCTTTTTTGAATCATATATAAGCATTTTAGACCTCTTCTGTGTGTATGCTTATAGACTAGGATTTTTTTCCAAGGTTCCTTGCTAGCAAAATATCATGTGGGATCCAAGGTAGCTGAGATATTTAATACCCTGAGCATATGTATTCAAGAAAATTCCTTGATAATGTGCCAATAATCATTTCATAAACATTTCCCTGAAATAAGTATCAGTTGTTTAGAGATTAGTGAGAGATCTACAATAGTCCAGTAATTGTTTAGGTAATCATTGCTGGCTTCTGCAGGTAAGCTTTTATTTCAGATGCCCATCATCACAGCATATAACAAATTGTTTGAGGAAAAACAACACATGGATACAATAAGTAATGTTTTTCTGTCTTTCGTTTCTTTGTAGAAATGGGTCTGCTTTCAGAAGATGTGCTCTAATGCGGGCCTGGAACAGGGACAATCATGTCATCAGAACTTTGTAAAACAATATCTGAGGCAAAGCTGGAAAGGCACAAGAACTTGTTCTTAAATTACCGAAATCTGCATCACTTTCCTTTGGAATTATTGAAAGATGAGGGTTTGCAATACCTGGAGAGACTCTATATGAAAAGAAACTCCTTGACCACCTTGGTATGATAAAGTCTTTATTGTACTGCCTGTTTTCTTTATGTTTGTACTGGAATATGAATTCTGGTTTGGAAAGACTGAATAAATCATGTTTGAGAAGCCTGTTTGAGAAGCCTGTTCCTGAATGGTACTGAGTACTTTTCAGGAGCTGGTACCATTGTGAAAATTTAAACACATCCTTGTTTTATACGTAGCTAGTGCAGATAGGAATTTTCTTGGCTTTCAGATATACTTAATTAGTTTTACTCTAAGCTGAAAGGTTTAACCAGTTGATGTTTATACCTAACATTGTATTTGCTCTTCTGTGTTTGCCACTGAGTTTCAGTCTGACTTTTTTTTTTATGGTCCCAGTGCCTCTGCCTTCCTTACAGGGCACAGCGTGGTTAGCCATCTCTTGTTTAGGCAAACAGTGTTTAGTTTGGTATGCATCTCATTTGAAAGGTGGTCATCATCAGTCTCAGGCTGTGATTCAGGGCCAGTCTTTGATACATCCAGCACTTATAACCACAAGTCACCATTGATCTGAGGAACTCGGAAATATCAGGCCTAACCTCAGCTCTTGGGTTAAAAAAATCTAATCTCCTAACCCTCCTTGCAATTTGTGAACCAGTATTCACAACCAGTCAGTACTGGTTATTTCCCCCCACCAATTTTGGATTATTGCTTCCTATGTACTTTGTAAGTACTTCCTAGCTTAACTTTTTGGATGTGTAGGAATCATAGCTCAAGTTTTTTTTTTTCTTCCCTGCCCAGAATTTAGGTGCTTGTGGCAGCCCTCCTGTTATCTACTTTCCTATTGTTTTTCTGACCTAAGCAGGCTTATGTTGAACAGCAATTGTGACCTCACACTTCAGTGGGAGGATGCTCAGAAGTGTATAAGATAAGCTTGGAGTAATGCAGTGGTGCTCAACCTTTTGGTGAGCGGGCTGGATGAGTGGCACAGGGCCTGTTCATGGGCAGGAATTCCACCCTGTGAGCCATTATTGGGTCCTGGGCTACCTCCATTTGGCCTGCTGCCAGATTAGGGCTCTTACATGCCCAGTTTGGGCTCTGGGCCACCCCTGTGCACTGATCCAGCATGCTATCTGGCCTGCAGGACTCCCTGTGGGTCTGAGAATTTGGCAGCGGGGGTGGGGGGCAATTGCTGCTACTGCTCCTTTTTGGCCAGATTTTCAGACCTGTGGAGGTGGAGCCCTGTGGATGGGATGGCATGTCTCCATGGGCTGAATCTGGCCTGCAGGCCAGGGGTTGAGCACCCCTAATCTAGTGCACTAAGTGTGAGACTGAAAGAAAATGTTTAAGTTTGATTCAAAAAGTCATTCGGACTTTCTGTCTGACCTCCCTCATCTCTGAGATCAAGGTAGTACCCACAGGTAAGGTGGGCAAGTCTTTGAACTGCGCAAGTGAGCCCTAGCAAGGTACCCAATCTCATTGATTTCAGTATTAAAAATACCATTTAAGCCAAGGGTGAGCAAAATGGTTGATCAAGCTGCCAGCTAGACTTCATTTCCCAGCAGCCCTTGCCTGCGTCACTGCAGCCAGTTTCCATGGAGACCCCAGGAGCAGCAGGGCCTGACAGTGTGGGGCCAGGGTTTCCATGGAGACTGTCCCAAGCCGTGCTGGCAGGGCGCACAGCTGGGTGAGGAGCTGCCCTTCGGTCTGGAACCAGGATTTTGTAATAGTTTCATAGTTGATAGGGTCAGAAGGGACCTGAGCAGATCATCAAGTCCAACCCCCAAGTAGTGACAGCATGATCCAGACCTGGGACGGAGCTGCGATCCACTGCCTGCATACCCCGCTGGGGCAGAGCCGCAATCCGCTGCCTACACGCCCTGGCCAGGGCATGCAGGCAGTGGATCGCAGCTCTGCCCCAGCTGCAGCCACTGCCACAAGATCCCAGCTGCTTGCACCGCCAGTGCTGCTTGGGTCAGTTTTCATAGAAACCCTGGCCCCATGTCATGGCCCTGCTGCTCCTGGAGTCTCCATAGAAAGTGGTCGCGGTGACATGGGCAGGGGCTGCTGGGAAATGGAGTCTGCTGTGGGCCTAGTCCAGCCCTTGGGCCGGACTTTGCCCACCCCTGATTTAAGCCAAGACTGTCCGACAGGTGGCCTCTGGATCAGACCAGGGTATTAACATGTGGACCACAGGCTCCTACCTGGCCATCACTCCCCTCATTGCTCCTGGTGCTGTTAAAGTTGGGCGCTGTGGGCTCCCTTTCTGTCTTTTGGCTTCTGCTTCGTGCCCTGGGAGAGAAAAGCCAGGCTGCCTTGACTACACCTGTGGCTGGAAGTAGAGCTGAGCAGCATGCATTTGGAAGGGGAG